CCAGGTTAAGAGCAGCTTCCGTGGAAGACCTCCGACAGTTAGAAATTATGAATTACACACCGTAATACTCGATCCCACGACCAAAAAATTAAGAGTCTTGCGTTCAACCAACAACTTTGGCAAAATAAAGCAAGTGGACACATCAGACACTTGTCGCCATCTTCTACTACTATTCCATCCCAAAACTAAAATAATATAATAACGTGAAAGTGGCACTGTCATTTCTGACTTTCTATTTCATATCTCGACGATTTCTAATTACTAATAAGCTGTTCAAACCAAGCCACCAACCTTACACGTTTCCATTAAAAGAACACATAAATATCCTTCCTTGTAGATGCAAAACATCTACGTTCACGTACCAATAATTTGCATGTGTTTTTAAGTACAAATGGATGCACGTGGTGACGTTACATTCAGTTTCCAAGGCATCCGGATCATAATATTAAATTATGAAAGTTTTCTCTTCTTTTCTTTGTAGAAACCAAACTATTTAGTGATTAAAATACGATATTATCTCTAAAGGTTTTAGATTCAAACATCAGAAGGTATAAGAGTATGAGTTTTCATTGTCAGATAGTTGAAAAACTTTAATATATATATATATCGTAATCACTTTAGATTAATAAAAAAACTCTTAAACTTTAAAAGAATCTGTTAATTGTTTAATCTCTAGAGTATATGGTTAAATTCTCTCAATCGATAACCCGTATTTATTATTTTCCCTTTATTTTTATATTACATCGTTATTTTTCTTAATTTTATTTTTAATAACTCTTCTTTATGATATGTTTTTATCTATCTTTTGACATAACTTCAGTACGTTTAAGGATCGTTTTGGTCATTATATTTGTTTAATTTTTTCATGATTGGATTTAGCGTCGCCTCAACTGATCAAGATGACTATTGTTTATTATCATATTAGTTTTTCTTACTTTAGACTCTCGGATTGAATGTAGATACATAATTTATTATTAAAGATAATTTTCTCACGATGTTCGATTCTGATTTACGATTGTCGGTGGTCTTTTAGTGTTTAATCCCCTATTAGAATTCATTTATCGATTTAGTCATATCTATATTGTAATTCTCTGTTAATTTCTTATATCAATAGTTAAAAAAAATGTCATAATTATGAGTTAAATTTTAGTTTAATTGTAAATCTTCATTAAAATTTTATATTTTTTTAATGAAATTGAGGGCTTGCTTCTATTTACATAGAAGAATATGAATTTAATTAAATAATCTAAAAGAAAATTTTAAATTAATCTAAAAAACGAAATTATCAGGAGTTAATTAATTGTATGAGATGTCCACAAATTGTGATTCTCATACTAAACTAGTCTAAATTTTTAAACATTTGAATTTCATCTTTATTAGTCCACAAACTTTTGAACATTTCAATTCCATTCCCATACTATTACTTTCATTCTAAATTAATCCTCAAACTTTTTGAACATTTCAATTTTATCCCAAAACTATATGTATATGCTAATCACATCCCTTGTTAATAAAATCATTAGGCCAAGTTATATTATTATATGTTAAAAAAAATTAAATCTAGGTTAAAATATGGTTGAATCTAATTACATATTTGGACGAATTTGGGAATGAAATTAAAAGATTCAAAAGTTTGGGAACTAATTTAAAATGAGGGTCATAGGTTGGGGATGAAATTAGAATGTTAAAAAGTTTAAGGAATAATTTAGAATGAGTCATAGCTTGGGTATGAAATTAGAATATTCAAAAGTTAAAGGACCAATTTAAAATATGGGTCATAGTTTGAGGACGTAAAATACAATTAACTGAATTATTAATAATAAAATATAATCAGATATTTAATTATATATCGTAAAACATATTTCAAGAAAAATAGAAAATAATTTGAACATTAAATAAACAGTTAGACCACAAATATAAAAGGAATCATCCCAAAACATCTCTGTCTTTAGCCTTCAATTCAACAAGCAACCGAGCTAAGCCTTATAAATACGATGGAAAAATAGGAGCTTTCAAAGGGTAGAAATTCGAGATATACATCCATCCCACATTCCAAATTTCAACAAAAAAACAAAATTTACTTACCCAAATCACCAAGAATGCAGAACAACAATCATAGCAGCCACCAATCAGCCAAGAAGAAGGTGTTACCGAAGCGGATAATCATAGTCCGACACGGTGAGTCGGAAGGCAACTTAGACACCTCGGCCTACTCCAAGACCCCAGACTACAAGATCTCCTTAACCGAAGAAGGCCGTGCTCAAGCCCGCCTCGCCGGTTCGCACCTCCGGGACCTCATTTCCGGTAATGGGTCTCGCCCCGATTGGCGGGTGTACTTCTACGTTTCCCCTTACGAGCGCACCCGATCCACGCTGCGGGAGATAGGGAAGTCGTTTTCGAAGAAGAGGGTGATTGGGGTGAGGGAAGAGTGCAGGATTCGAGGACAGGACTTTGGGAATTTTCAGGTTGAGGAAAGGATGAAGGTTATAAAGGAGACGAGGGAAAAAGTTCGGGAGGTTCTTTTATAGGTTCCCTGAAGGTGAATCTGCTGCTGATGTTTTTGATCGTGTTTCAAGTAAGTTGTTCTTCATCGTCAAGTTTTGTTATATACAAAATTTGCATTTTTTGTATGTAAATTTTGTTTGGGATATTGAGTTTCTAAGAAGAAATGTGATTTGTGAACTGGTTCATGGACATTTAAAGTAGTTTTCTAAGAAGCTAATGACTGGGAAAGTTTCTTCATTGATTTTGAAATCAATATGGAAAACAAAAATTAAAGAAGATTGTTGAAATCAATATGTTTCTTGTTTGAAGTGATACTGTTTGGTAACGACTTGCTTTGCAACTTTGAAAGATATGGACTTTTTGGATGAAAATTGGGTTCTACTGTGATATAAGCATCTGTTTAATTGCTTCCTTGACCATGTAATGAGCATAGATTTCTTTGACATATGTGTATTTTTCGAATCTCCGCGTAGAGAAATGCTGATAGAAGATAAGGAAATAAGTTCAGGTTGTTTTCCCCTAAGATTGAACTTCATATGACTTATCTTTTCAATGATATTGGAAAGAGATCCCAAATCTGTGGTTTGATGTTTTATAGAGAATGAATCGAAATGGTCGGTTTTGATATGTAATTCGTGCCTGTGGTTGCTAAACCGAAGAAAAATCGTTGAAATTTGCAGATTTTCTTGAATCCCTCTGGAGAGACATAGACTTGAATAGACTTCACAAAGATCCTTGTCGAGACTTGAATCTCATGATAATCTCTCACGGTCTAGCATCACGGGTGTTTCTAATGAAGTGGTTCAAATGGACGGTCGAGCAATTCGAGTTCTTAAATAATCCCGAGAATTGTGAGTGCCGAGTTATGGAGTTGGGACAGGGCGGAGAATATAGCTTGGCGATGAATCATACAGATGAAGAGATGCTGGAATGGGGACTCTCTCCGGATATGATACAAGACCAAAAATGGCGAATCACCGGCAAAAAGACTGATTGGAATGATCATTGTACCTGGTATCTGAGGTCATTTTTCGACGAATTAGACTCAAAAGATGATGTTGAAAGTAATTGATATCCATTCTCAAAAAAATTTAAAAAAAAGTGTAGATACTAATTCTTTGAATGCGAAACTTGTATTTCATGATACCCCATGGGAATGTTCATTTACATGGATGGATTTAGCAAATGTATTTTCGTTTTCACTTTTTTTTTTAAATAAAATTCTTTTATAGCAACTATATGTTAGCAAGATCATCATTGATGAAAACTATATGTTAATAAGAAATCAAATGGATTTGTTTAAAGATAAAGAATTAAATCAAATTGTGTTGAGTTCTCCCTGTTTGCTTTTGGCATGGAGAATCAAGGCTGCAATAATTCATTCGAATCGATTTTAGCTAATGAACCATCTGCCTAGGCTTTAGCCAATAGTATATACAAAGAACAAATCAGCTAGGTAATTTCAGCTAGACCCTAAACTGCTGCTCTCATCTATCTTTGACCCTACTTTTAGAATCGATTTCAAAGGTTTCGGTTCTTCTATTATTTCTTGGTTGAATGACCCCATTTTTTCTGCTCTTTTCTTCTTGATTTTCTTCTTCTTGCTTGCTGTTGCAGTCATCTCCTGCACTGTATCATTTATGCTAACCATTTTCCTCGGAGGTCGAACTTCAGGTCGAATAGCAGACGTTGCTGGTGCTTCATCCTCATTTTTCTCCTCATTCAGTGTTGCAGAAGAAATGCCGCTTTCACTATGATTACATATTGGCCCTGGCTCTACTTTGGCCTGCAAACTTGCATCTTCAACCGAAGTTTCAACGGCCACGGGAGGCATTGCTTGATCGGTGATGGAGCTCGATATAACCGATCCAGAACCGGGAGAAGGTAAATGAGTTGAGTCCTGATGAGAACCTTGGCCTAAAGTGACTCTTTTCATGGCATATGTTGCTAGATATTTCCTGATGAAATTGTAGAGCTTGTGGCAAAGGCCGAGAAAGATTTGATCCATTTTTGTGGGATATGGTTCTAAAATGGCGTTTGGTTGTTTTATAAATTTGATCAGCCAATGATAACAGAGGGAAGATTTAACTCATTTCATTGATGCTTTACTTTTGATGCAAGAAAATATTACTTGGGGGGCAATACTTTACTTTTCTTGATAGATTTCCTTCGTCTGACACCTATATTGGCTATTTCTTAAATACAAAGCATCAGAGGCTAGCAGGATTTTCAGCAGGTAAATTCGATAACATCGTCGAAAATATTAATGCATGTAGATCTATGCTACTCGGATTCGGGTGTAAGTATCCGATATGGCCCATATCACATATCCTATGGGTATGTCTCCGGAATGGGTATGCTTAGTTTTATCTTGTTTTTGGATGATCTCTAAATGGTCATGTCTTCACGTCCATGAAAAGATTTGCACCGGACAGGCAGACACTAGTACTTCAAGAAAAATACGGAGTAGAAGCAACGTAGGTAGACATGGTTCTTCAGGTTCCTGAAGTTTCATCAGCTGCACCAGTGGGTGAACCAGGCACAAATGGAACAGACTCCCTTCCACCGAAAACCGGTCTCATGAATCTGTCATCGAATTTCCTCCACAAGTGATGAACTGTACTACTTCTACGGGATGCCGCAGCCAATTGATTCTCCAACATGTCACTTGGTGCACCACTTTCAATCAACAGAATTCTCAAGTCTTCGAGGCTGGAAATATCAGTAGCGTCTGAAACATTTTGTCTCGCATGTCTTAATAGCGCTAATGCTTCGATCAATGGTTTTGTTATCGAACCCATCAACTGTTCCACAGCAACGTTATAGTATCAACGTTCCCGACATGACGGGTTAAACAAGTTGCAGAAACAAGATCGCGGAGTTATGAAGTAATTAGCTTACCACTGTGCTAAACATGACTAGAATCATGGTACAAGTGATCATCAATGCAGAATCTTCGGTATTTTCATTCTCAGAATTCGAAAAAAACTGCATTCAAGTATTCTTGATCTTGATATCAACAAAGAAACAAGAGCTTTAAGTTATTAAACCAGAACTAGGAATATGAACATTTACCTGGTTGTAAGACAGTGCAATAGTGACAGCACCTCTCATGAGGCCCGCCCACCACATTACAAACTGAGGATTCAAAGATTTAGAAAAAGTTCGGATTAGAACCATTTGACAACAGTTAAATTCATGGATGGTTTCTGTTATCACCTGTTGTGGGAACTCGATATTCGAATCATCCTGTATCTTAGTACAGTTCATGAAGTTTGCTAGTGGGTACACAATGCTGCCCTTCCAACTAACACCAGTGCAAACATTGCTAAGCTGACTGCAACAAAGGTTCCTGCACTGAATTCAGAATATGATCCAAGTTAGAGTCACAAGGTATTTCAGCTGCTTGCTCGAACGACGCATCAGAAAGGAGAAAACACCTTGCATTGCTGGCTTTCCATTTCTCAAATCTGATGCATCGTTTGATCACTTCATTTGAGTGTTTATATATAACTGCCGATTGTAGACCTACATGAGCACAATGATCCTCAGCAATTTTCATCACCTCAAGTTCCAAGATTTCCACATACGAGATTAGACTATTCCCATGAATTCTGTTATAGAAGAAAATATTATTCTTTATAAATTTTAGGTTTAAATAGATGTATCTTCAGGATATATATACATTATCAATAATAAAATTTTGTTTTAAACAGATATTATCTTATACTTACCCAGAGTATTAAAAAAGATACAAGGATCTATTGAAGATTGCAACTATGTGCAAAAGGAAGGTTTTAAATTAGGAAAATTAGGGATAACAACGAATCGGGTTGAGTTGGTTTTTTAGTCCATCCGATCCGACTTGGAAATATATATCCTCCACCCAAACCCGATTTGACCCTACTTAAAAAATATATACTCTCCGTTCGATCTTACCCGACCTGAAAAATATATATCGTCCATCCGATTTCGACCCGACTCAAATTTTTAGAGTATAAATCCGATCCGACTCAATCCAACCCAATATAAAATAGGGAATTAATTGGAAAAACAATAGAGAAGAAATTACACTACTACCCCGAGTCGGGTCAGGTTGGAGTTTTTTCACCCTCCTCCTGAACCCGACCTGACTTAACTCTATTAAAAAAACTGACTCGATCCGACTCGAATTTGACTTTTTTTAAAAAAAAATTGACTCTATCGAATCAGTTCAAGTCAAAATTTGTCGATATTGGGGAAAGAATTGATACCAACTTTCTTTTTGTAGGAATAAATCTTATTGCGGCATAGTTTACATGAAACATACATTATATCTCTTCATTCTCACATAGAATTTTTCTTCTTCTTCTTCATGTACTAAGTTGAGATTGAAACTTGGAGTTTCACCCACCAAAAATATATGGGGGTAAGGAGGGAAAGTGTCCACACTTGAAATAGACCAAGTGGAGAGCAAGAAATGAATTTAGAGTATAAATACTTAGGATAAACTATGTATTTAATCACCTAACTATTCTAGTGGTTCCAATTTGGTCACCATACTATTTTATTTTCAAAATCATACCTAGTATTACGTTTTGGTCACTCATCATTAAAAAAATTAACGGTGATGTTGTCGTGTCACCATAAGATAATATTGTGTCATCATGAAAAAAATTATCACGTCAGCAATATTATTTTTTTAACGGCGTGTGACCAAATTGAAACTAAAACATAACATTAGATATGATTTTGAAAAGAAAAAATAGTTTACCTAGATATTTTTTTTTAATTAAAGTTTACCTAAATACTTAACTCATAATTTAAGCCTAATACATGAATAAAAATATTAAATTCAGGTACCAAATTAAATCATGAACTTAGATTTAATTGTTACTCTATTGATCAAAACCAAAATTTTTAAAAATTTAAAAGTCTTGGAACTAAAAACGATCAAATTAGACTATAAAGATTAAATCCATAACATAACGCATGGACTAATAAAACAATTTGTCACTAATTTTAGGCTTAAATATATACCAAATTGGCACCTAAAGAAATTTTGTTCTCAAGTTGATACTCAAACTTTAATTTAATTCACTGTTTTGATACTTATATTAACAATGCCGACTCTTGATAAAATAAAAATTGTATAAAATTATTAAAAGTAATAACTTACAAGAATGTTTCTATTTCAAATATTAATTTCAAAGTACCAAATGTATATTTAAGCTTTGTTTTTATTAGGTAAGCCATTGAGATTTTCAACTTTTAGCTTTAGGGTTGTAAAGGAGATGAGACAGATTAAGCTACATGAGCTCGATATAATCAAAACTCGATTGTCACTTGAATCGACTCGAGTTCTTAACGAGTCAAAGTAAGCTACTTGATATCTGACTCAAAAACTCTCGAGCAACTCGAAAAAATAATATATTAAATTTTTAATGTTTTAAATTAAATTATTAATAATATTTGGTTCGTGTTTAGAAAAAAGCTCGATTAACACGTGACCGAGTTCTATAATCGCCATAATCAGAATGCTTAAAGCTTTAAAATCGGGAAAATTAAGTTGACAACACAAGAACTATATTTTGAGACCTGTCATACTTTTCACTGGTGAATGAATAATGACTTCAATCTGCAGATAAATAGTTTTTTTAATCAGTGACATTTGCAATGACTACTAGAACTCAATACAAAGAAGAGTTCAAGCATGAGTACTTTCCGGTGAGTATCTGCAATGAATCATACCGGTTCACAGCCTCCGATATATATTTAGAACTATCATTGCATGCATTGGCTGTCACTGTGGTTCCATTAATCTCTTTTGTTTTCCCACATGCGATTCAGCTATCGTAGTTCAAAGGCGGGCCACCGGACCCACAGCAAGCCATTATAGGCTGCTCAAATCCTGCAAAACGGTAAGCACTCAAAGAATCACAACTTTGGCTTATCCTGAAACTTCATGCTGCTAAAACCAAATTTAGAGATTAGAAAACCTTCCATGAACATACTTGCCGAGTTAGCATAATTAGAGATAAGGTTGTACTTTATTGTGTGGACGTCAACGTAGGGAAAATTTGAATCTGTATACTGGCCCTGCAATTTTTATAGTGAGGGCGTGAAGCTGCAGATTGAAGACTTTTGCAGCTTGGTTATGCTTCCTCACACTCCCTTGTTCATCGAGACTCGGTAGGTCGGTTCGGAATTTGGCAACATTTTGAGTTAAGCATCCTAGAGGTCCAGTGATTCTGCTTCACACCGCTATTTTTGACACTAAAAGTTTCGGATGACACCGCTACCACCATATAGCGGCTGCTATTATGCTATCCAACGGCAATGTAAATCCCTAACCCTATCATAGAAGGCTTGGTGAAACATTGCAGAGGCTGGGGTTTATTTCGTGGCCTTGACACAATAGAAAGAGTATGGAACAGAGACTTGACATTGGTTAGTGAGTTCAAAGACTCTTCTCTATCACTTGCTGGTTCTATCCTTGAACGCTATGGTATGGCATGGATGTTGCCATTTCAATTGCTTCTTGGGATCGTCACTGGTATGACATCAATTGAAAAGGACATAATTATCCTCAAATTTATATTATTGTTATAAGCGTTTTAAGTTTTTTTTATGTAATTTCACTGACTTGAAAGAGAGCCAAATTCAGTTTGTATTCCATTCGGTCAAAATGAAGCCTTCTTGTGAACCTGCAACGATTATGTTGTTCGTTTACAGTTGATTTTGATGCAGCTGGAAATCCCGGTTGACCGATGGTTGTCACGTGTGGATGGCCGATATATCCGTCCCGACAATGATTCCATCTCTGACGTATGGAGATATGATTTATCAAGACAGAAATTGAAGTAGAGCAAATGTGTTCCAGTGTTTACTTGGATTCTATCACTTATCCAATCAATACCTATAAACCATCATCATGGAGTGGAACAAAGTTTCATCTCTGCATTCCCGGAATGAAGTAGCTGAGAAGACCAGAAATCTTCTGAAGAAAATCAGCAGTTCCTCCGGGCAAAGCATCTAATCTTTCAGCAGCACCAAGCCTTTCCTTCAGGGTCATGTTCTCTCTCTGAAGCTGCACAAATATGGTAATCTCAGATATTGCATGGAACCAAATTCAATTGCCATGATATGAAGGTCCTATATGTCTAGAAAAGTAACTTTGGTCTCTATTGAGCAAGAATTATAGAAAAACTGACAAATTTTCAAGAAAAATTGTGATTATTTTTTTGGGGTAAACTACATGTTTGGTACCCCAACTATCATTTTTGTTGCGTTTTTCATCCAATTATTTTTTTAAATGACACTTAAAATTACATTTTAGTTTCATTTTGGTCATATTGTTAAAAAATTAACAGAATTACTAAGTGATATTTTTTTATTTTTCAATTATGACATGACATTACTTTACGATGATACATCAACATCACTGTTAATTTTCGATGGATGACCAAAATGAAAAAAAAATGTTAGGTATGGTTTTTTTCATAGTTGGGGCACTAACCGTGTAGTTTACCATTTTTTGGGAAAAGTGGTCATACAAATATCTAGAGCATATATGACTTCTACCCCTCTTTGTTATTTCCCTTATTTCTCTAGGGTAAGACAATAATGGATAATGGAAATCATTACCATCTGAACAGCAGATCTGAGCTCCTCCACAGCTTTCATCAATGAAGAAATGGTTTGTTCAACAACATCTTGAAAGTTTGATTCCAAGTCATCTGTTGAATCAAGATCCACAAATAGTCCTGCCTGAATGAATAATTCCTCAAGTAGCTTCACATCTTCAGCATTAAGCCTCTCACTCATCTAAACAAGAACAAACCATATTAGAAAGTGACAAGAATGTTTCATCTACGTAATGTCGGATCATAACACTAACTTTTTCTAGAATTTTCTCGAATGTCTCGTCTCTGGTACCAGAAAGAGCTCCATTCTTCTTATCGGAACCTTTGTCCTCATTAACCTTGACAAGTGGAGATGTCTTTATATGCCTCGCCCTGCCATGAAAATTACAACCCCACAGAAAAAAATAATAATAATAAAGTATTAGATGTATAGTTTGATCATACAAAACGAGATATCGAACCTTCAGCTTTTGTTATTAAAAATGTTCTTTTCTAGAAGGAGAAATTAAGATATGTAAAAGGAGAATATTAGGCCTTCCTTAATGCTTAGACTTCTTTTTTTTTTCTAGTGGGTTTAAATATGTATAATAGCATATTATAGTGTTCATGAACCTTGCACCAAAACGAAGAGTGGACAGGCTTTCTGATGCATTTGAAGGACTTGGTGAGCAGCAACAAAGCAATGCAGAGCGGGAGTTCCCACCCTGCAAATTTAATATGAAATTGGAAACCAACAGATCATGAAACTGATTTGATGACATTACATAGAGATGAAATTAGGGGTTAGAGAACTTACAAGAGCATCTTGCAGGAGTCGAGTGAGCTTGGAATCACGATAAGGAATATGGCTTGCTTTGGCTGGTGTACCACATGTCAGAGCATTTATTACATTCCCTAATGCCGAAAGGGATTTATTGATTGTTTTAGCCTCTTCGAG